ATCTCCACAGCAGGCTTGGTCTTTCCTTCTCAGGCCATTCTGAGTATTCAACTCTTCCTTCCATTAAAAAAACAAACAAACAAACAAAAAAAAAACCTATGTCAATGGATGAATGGATAAAAAAAAAATCTGGTATATATACACTATGGAGATGTGTTCAACCACAAAGAAAAATGAAATTATGTCATTTGCAGAAAAATGGATGGGACTTGAGACCATTATGTTAAGCCAAACTCAAAAGATGAAGGATTGTATATTTTCTCTCACCTGTGGAAAAAGGAAAAGAGAGGTGGGGGAAGATCTTATGAAAATGGAAGTGAGGGATAATAATAGAATAGAGTAAAGGGCCCAGAGGGGAGGAGAACTGGAGAGAAAGGAGAAATACTGGGGAATGATAATAGCCAAATTATGTTGTTATATTGTGTGCATGTACAAATATGTAGCAACAAATACCACTATTATGTACAGCAATAATGTGTGTGTGTGTATACAAAGAAAGACAAGGTGGGGGGAGCACATGCTCTTTTTGTCTTTATATTTACCAGAGTTGGTCTATATTGCTTATAACAAAAGACTACTAATTTGAAAATATTCCATTTTTGAGGATCCAAAGAGTAGTATGAAATAATCTATGACATCCGAAGAAGATTTCTTCTGTGGAAGAAGCCATAAATTAATATGCAAGAAGTAGATAAACGAATTGAATAAAGCCACTAGTTGCTTGGGGAAGATTCTAAACCATGGTATACTCCACATTTGCCCAGGAAAAAGAAGAAAACATAACAAATGAGGGGTTCTGACCCTTTAAGAAAATTAGCAAACTGTAGCTATTGCTTTTGCAAACCTCCGTGACCCATTATTGTATGTCTGACGTCTTCTTTTTTTTTTTCTATCATTTTATTTTCAGGAACAAGCCGATGCCCGAGGCTTTCTTGGTGAATACCCGCTTTGTGCAAGGATGAGTGTTAATCTTTGGTTGAAACATTGATGTATGAGATAAACATGTGGCTAAATTGGACAAGCTCCATGTTCTCCTGTCTGACAACTGGATTAAGAAAGACCAGCAGGTCAAATAATTGTTCCTTGAGCACACAGTCAGTGAGTTGTTCTGTTTTTATTCAAAGCCTCTTACTTTCTAGACACTGGTAGGTAGCTTCTGTCTGCTTAAGCAAGACGAGTCTCCTAAATGCAGGTGCATGGTCTCATCAAAGGGCCAAACTCTAATGGTCATATTAGCCCGATCGTTAGTTATTTAGTCAGAAATCAGCTCAGCCTGTAGTAAGCACTACAAAATCTGCAACACAATGCTCTCCAAATTAATAATATGCAGCAAGCACATGTTTCCAAAATGAACATTATTTGCAAGATGGATGTCTTTTTGCATATTTCAGGTTCTCAGAGTATATGATATCTACAAAAAGGTATCTTTTTCTTTCTTTTTTTTCTTTTCTTTTTTTTTTTTTTTTGTTCCAGAGATTAAACCCAGG